GTAAGATTCGCACCCTGTGCTCATCCTACTCATCCCCTGGAAGTTTTTTTCCCTGAAGTATATTTATTTTTATTCATTCTTAATGCTTGAAGTTTGGTAGTCTTGGTAGAGTCCCGCACAAAAAGGTAAAAAAAATATAGTAGTTCGGTAGATATGTTTATTTCAAATAAGGCGAAGTTTAATAAAATGCCTCTAGGCTCTAGGCATTCATTTTTAAAGACTGACTAAGTCTTCAAAAATTAATCACCTTTTGGTTTCTTGTACATTTATAAGTATTTAGCAAAATATATGATAACTATAATATATTAATGCAGTAATTTAAATAAAATCTCGATATTAACTGAATTTTAGATTAATTTACATCCAGTATTGTTTATTTCGTTCGGCGAACTTTATTTAATAAAAAACCAAAGACACATTGAACAGTCTAGTACTCGCAGTCACTTTCAAGAACCGATATGTCACCGAGCCGGCCATAACATACAAAACAAAACACCGTATCTATTGTAACCCGTTTTTTTAACAAGCCATTCGTAGAGAGACAACATTACATCGTAAGCCTATCGACAGTTTATATTATTATCACTCACGAATCTCTTTTCAATTTTTCAAACTCTTTTTCAATGGTTTGTTATGATTTATTAAATTGATTCCATTAATAAACTGTTTACAAGTGTTCTATGTCAACCGTTTCTTATGTAAAATATAGCTAATTTTATCTCAGTGGACCAATAGGCAACCGAATAGATGCCTAATCTTTAACTTACATTGTATATAGTGAAACAAGTGAATTTATTTCTGCAAATAGGCTACAAGGCAGCACTTTTACACGTCAATTTTATCAAGCGAACGATGAGGTCGACATTTCCTAACTGACTACTCTGAGAAGAAATGCCGAAACAAACTCAGAGGTCTGTCTCTTTTAAAGTCCAGACAATATGTATAATAGATTATGTGTGAGAACCGTGCAAGTTCTTTCTGTAGTGGCCTTTTGAGGAAAGAGCCACAACAGTTTGAGCGGACCCGTTCTGAAGGCAGTACGCATGTGTCGGTTTACAGTCGGCTCAATTAACAGGTGAGGCTGACTGATTCGACGAACAATACCAACCTAAAGAACATTTGCGTGGGTCGCACAAATACTCAAACCGTCAGAATATGGGTAATTAGAAAAGAAATGGTGAGGCAAAGTCTCGCACGGTCCTAGCACTAACAATTGTAAAGGAAAAAGCAAATGTCAAGTTAGAACAATAATATGTAAAACAATGTCAAGAAATGTAACTATATGTTACAAACATGTCAATATGACCTGTGTGGACGTTACAGCAGCTTATTCCCAAGCCAGACTATCATCTAGGTAGTCTTTAATTTTATAAAAAGCTTTACTATAAAATTTATCTTTAATGACATTTTTAAATTTATTTAGACTCAAATTTTGGACATGGCTGGGAATTTTATTGTAAAAGCGTATACTCTGACATCTAAACGAACCACTTATTTTCTTTAGTCTAGTAGTGGGAACAACATATTTGTCTTTATTTCTCGTGTTGATATTATGTATATCACTATGCTTTTTAAATAAATTTTTGTTTTTATGAGCATATACTACATTTTCATAAATGTATTGAGAGGCAACAGTCATTATATTAATTTCTTTAAATAGTTCCCTGAGAGAGTACCTCGGACTAAGATTATAAATTGATCGAATGGCCCTCTTCTGCAGAACAAAGATAGATTGAATGTCAGCAGCATTCCCCCATAGGAGAATACCGTATGACATGACACTATGAAAATAACTAAAGTATACTAATCGCGCTGTATCTACATCGGTTAACTTTCTAATTTTTTTAACGGCATATGCTGCAGAACTGAGCCTTTTCGATAACTTATCTATATGTGGAGCCCACTGGAGCTTAGCGTCTAGGGTTATACCTAAAAAGACAGTAGAATCTACAGGGCTCAACTCCTCACCCTTAATGAGCACGCTGGTTTTTAACATGTCCAACATTTGGTGTTGTAAATTTAATGCATTTAGTTTTAGTTCCATTTAGTAATAGGTTGTTGGCACTAAACCAGCGTACTATTTCCGAGAGAGCATTGTTCACATTATCAATGACTAATTGTCAGTGGCGTGCACAGATTTTCGAGACAGGGTAGGCAACTAAATATCGTATGATTAAAGCCCTCCCCCCTGGTCATACAATCATACTCCCACAAGACAGGTACATGTACAGAATACATTTTGAAAAGTGCGTTCAATAATATTGTGGTTTATTCTTTCGCCAAATTACATACACTGACATCTCGCGTATTTTTTGTAAAGTACTTCATCAGCTATCGAATAAGCCAACAAAACTTACAAATAATGAAGCATCTATTTATTATACTAATAATGAATCATAAATTTGATGAACCAAATTCAATTATCATATTGCTAAATAATCTATTTAAAATCATAATTACGAATTTAAGAACGTAGATACCTACCAACAAACAAAACAACAACAAGCGCGGCCGGCTGTGGCCGAGCCGAGTATAAGCGGTACATTTGTTATTACATTACATAATTATTAATAATAAATTAATATGTAAATCAAAACAACCCGAGGTATAAGTTGATATTTTTAAGAATTATCAATCAATAAACAAGAACATCATATAAAAGATCCATTATAGTACCTACATATTTACATTACCTACCTTTGACTTGGGTCAATTCTCGTAACTTGAGTTCTGCCTATGGTCATTACCTGAATCTAGTCGTTATAGGACACATTTTTGCGAAAACTTACTGTTTTTAACTTTAAACAAACACAAAAATTACCTATTATCAACACAAACTTCACAATCGAATAATATACTAGACACTGATAAACAAATACACTATTTGAAAAACCGACACATATATTTTAATACTTCTACACATATTTATGCAACTTTATGTTTAAAACTAATTCCTTATAATTTAAACGAAAACATAAACAAAGCGATCGCACATCTCATGAAAACAATATGGCCGAAAACATTTTAAAGTCATTACCCATCGTAGTCAATTGAGTGTTTATTATAAAAAATTTTTTTAAGCAGCCCAGTGTTTAATTATAAAAAAACAAAACGTTAATTTACATAAGTCAAATGGAATTGCATCATTGTCTTATTATTATTTTCCAATAAGAAACATTGGTTGATAATAATTTGAAACTTTGAGTAGCGGCAACTTGACGTTTCGATAACTTCCTTTTAACTTTTAAAATAATAAAGTCAACTCCTCGTTTAAAGTTTCTATAAAGCGACAACGCGTAAAAATGTTAAGATTTAATTAAAACACCTGAAACATATTTTTTTAGTATGCATAATTATAAAAAGACATTCGCATTATATTTATTCAGAAGTTTTAACAAAAAATTCAATAGATGGCGCAGATTCACAAATTTAAAGTCCGGCTAGATTGAATCGTGTAATAATTTTTTGCGTTTATGAATGGTTATTCTGTGCTGTGACCATAGTCACGTGACCTTCACGCATGCGCGTTGCATACTTTTTGTGACGTCACAACCAACAACCAAGATTTAAGGAATAGCAGCGCATGCGTGGTGCGTGCGGCGCGCATTCATTGCTTTACAAAGGCGTGCGGTCCGTGTATAGTATATGTGAATGTATATTTATGTTAGCCGTTTTTTTACAAACTTTTATTATATTATTGAATCTTAACTCGTCGAGTACCGGTTTTATAGACACAATTAAAGAACAATAGGTCGCGGTCACCGGTGACCGCTTGGTATTTGACAGTTTAATAAACGCGTTAGTACATTTTATGTCAAGCAAAGCCTATTTGCCTATATGGACTGCACGCCACTGCTAATTGTCTACGTTTAAGTTTAAATAATAACGAAGTATCATCCGCAAACAGTACTATCCCGTGGTTATCCTTTACAAGGTAAGGCAAGTCATTTATATATATAAGAAACAAAAAAGGGCCGAGAATTGACCCCTGCGGAACCCCCATCCTGACAGCAGACCCGGCGGAGACTTTTCCGTATATATATATCAGAGGGGGCGAATGGGTACCTTGAAACCATATTTCGTCTTAAAATATTAATTGGTCCTACCAGGGGCCGAATCCACAACTTTTATACTGGGGGACGAATGGGCTCTGACCCGCTATTGCAGCGTGGTTGTGCTGCTGTGGATCTTTCGCCAACACTACATGTTCACGTCTGTGCACTATAATCAATTTGGTTCAGCGGCATAGCAAAATATGCTGTTACTTTGCCGAGCTATGAAGGCAGATAATCAACCTGGGATAATAAGGATAAATAGAATAATAACTAAAGATCTCAGAATGTGAGATAGTCGGCTGAAAACCTACGAAAAATCTTTATTTTATTTGACTACATAATATTTTTCTCAAAACTAACTTATAGCAGGCCGTCCGCGTCTTTAGAAAGATGAGCAATGAATAAATATTGTATAATTTCATTTCCTACGAGTGTGATGCTATTTGATAATAGACATATACAAATCTTATGAATTTCCTTTCGTTAGCCTCGAGAACGGCTGAATTTGGTATTGAAATGTTCGTGGAAGTCCAGGGAAGGTGTATATTTTAGGCGGCTCGAAGTTTGCCGGGTCAGCGCTAGTATAGCAAAGAGTATAATAAGTATAGGGGTAGTGGGTATAGTATAGACCAAGGTAGACATTTGGTAGACATTAGTACATGCCAAAGAGACAACTTCAGTATACATGTACTGCGCGTGCGCGACATAGACGAGGCCGACAAGCGGTGACAATCTGTTTGTTACACGAATGCATTCTCTTTGGAAAAATGATGGATTTAAAAATAAAATAGGTTGGTGACATTATGCTGTTTTAAATAAAGTGACGGATTATATAATCAAAATTTCGTTGATGTCAAATAAAATAATTTTAAGTATTGAATTTTTAGAACTGCAGTAACTGAATCACAACTGCTGCCAAGCAAGAGTACGTGAAGCGAGGCCAATATGTTGCACATATACGCAGCCACTACTCCGGAACCGAAACCCAAGACTCGCGGCTGGCCATTTGGCGGGTCTACGAGTACGTAAACTACTCAGAACAAAACAGGGGCCACCACCGATGATTGTCTTAGAGTAACTCAACAGCTGATGGTTACTAGTAGTCAACATGTTTTTAGTAATTGTTTCATTATGTTGGTACGTCAGCAGAAATAGTGCAGTGCTTGAGGAAATGTGATGTGAAGTGATTTTATGATTTGTGTTCATGGTGTGGCTGTAAGAGTAATCGTTGAATGGTTTGGTTTTGTGTTAATTGTGAATACTATGATTGGGTTTTGATGTGTTTCTCTAATTCAGGACAGAGATTTAGAGAGTTGTAGCAATTCGCGACGGTGTATCGCGAGGAAGTATCCAGACAGTATGAAATTGCTATCGAAAGATTCAGAATTAGACCAGGATACGTACAAAATAAAAAACTGGACCTAAAATTGGCTATAAAGACCACTGCATGAGATTTTATGTAATTTAGAAGAGTTTTGTGACCGTCTTGGCCTAACAGAATCTATGTGCCAATAAAAAATATGTCATTAATCCAAACTAACTCAATTCGACCCTAGAAAGATGCCCAGAATTCCAAACTAGGTTTCTTTTTATTATCTCTACCGACCAGATCTCATCGCATAGCTTACGTGTAATGTGTTTAACGATATTAACATTTCACAAGAATACATACTTGAACCAGAACTACATACCTTGTGCTTGTGGTGTGATCATAAACATGTGAACTGAACTACTGGAGCACGGTACTCTTGACGTGCGAATGGAAGGCCAAGTTTTCACTGTTTACAGTGTGGACAAACAATATGAACAACTTATGGATCTATCCTTGGACCCGACCGTTACTGGAGTCCAAAGTTTATGGATTGATTTCGCATGGTAGACTAAAGAACGCTGGTAATTCTGAATAAGAGTTCTCTAACAGCTAGGAGTTACGTCGAGTGATTAGATCTTATGGCAACCGATATACACAAAAAGTAGGTAATAGCTTTGTGTGCAAGGCAATGCTCTCCATAAACAACAAGTATGACAAAAAGAGCTTTTTCTAATACCAATATTAGAGATTTGCCATGGCGTGTATTGAATACCAACGAGATTATAATAAAAAGAAACTCAAAAGACACTTACATCCATGTAAACAATCGGCAGGAATTGATAAATATGCTTAACGTCTATTGGGAACTATTGGAAGAAGTAGTCACCGACCACCCTGGAAGTGAAGAGACAAGAGTAGATAGACTCAAATAGTGCCTATGGAGTAGAAGAGATCTAACCAACCAAATAAAATGTTCCACTCATTTTTCGGCTTACTCATGTAACTCTTTGACGAGGAACTCGACTAGTTTCGAGCCATGCCATGTTAAGTTTTTGTTGTCCTTATTTTGATACAACTTCCCTAAAACATGTATTTTGTGGGTATTTCTAAGAAATATTACTTTTAAGCCTCAATTAGAGTATAAACATGTCTGTTCTTAAAAACCAGAAACACATTCATGATTTTTGATAAAAGCCTAAGACCAGGGTGGCCCTTATTTTGTTTTAGTATACGAGTATAGTAAGGTACCCCCCGTTACCAGGCGCCATGACAGTCGTGACGTATTGGATGAGGTGCAGGTCTGGTATACCCTATGTACCAGTAATGAGTCGCATGCACATAGCGCAGGGTACAATATGCTACTCGCTAAACAGTTGTGGCTACTCGCTGCCTCACAGACTGGAAGCATGTATGTTGCAGTCAAACTATTTCACCTTCACACCTGATTGCTTTATGACTTTAGCCAAGTCTTCGATGGTATTACATATATATGTTGCAGTCAAAACTCTTAACCAGTCAAACGTACCTGTAACCGACCCCATCAGGTACAATTAGATAAAACTGTTTTTATTTTGCTACTCAAGAATAATACTCTTGACTAGTTATAATTGTGCAAGTTTTAATAACTATATATTAACTACTACTACTTTCTAAGATTATTTAAGACTTGTGAGGTAACCTGAGCGTCTAATTTTGAATTGTAAGTTTGAAATCACCAACCCGCATTGAGCAAATCTTCTCCGTGCGAGAAGAGGCCTAGGGTTAGCAGTGGCCGCCTATTGACTGTTGATGATAACTAACGTACCATCCTCTACATGGACATAATAATCTAATGGCAACTAGTTATTAATGAGTTTAGATAGTATAGTAAAGATTTGGTTCAAAATATTTATTTTGTAAGTCCTGGCCTGGCAATCAAAGCCACAGGGGGGGGGGGGGGGCGTAGCAGTATTTACATGTGACTAGTTGTTTACTGAGTGTTTGTTATCTTTTCCAACAGGCGCCACTGATGATTATGACCCGCACGAGCACCGTGTTGTTGAAAAACCTACCACGTAAGTGAAATGTCCTTTCTCACCAATCCTTCTTGAATTTTAAGGAACTTCTAAGCTAAGATAGATGACACTTAACAACATTTTGAATTTCTCCAACCTATGAGTGACACCTATCAGTATAAGTTAGCGGTTAGTTTAAGAGACTCCTCACGTTGAGTAATTTTAAGTTAAGAGATGGTTGAGACCCCTCTTAAGAAGGTGATAATGGCCATTAGAAAAGTGATAAAATTATTATGTCTTATTTTGGATTGTCAGAATACGAAACGAATTAATTATAAATGTAATTTTGGTACCTATGAAAATTAATTAGAACATACATAACATTACTTATGAAGTTCGTCTTAGAGCCGTGCTGCGGCAATATGTACAATTGGCGTACAATTTTTCTTCAGTGCTTTGCAATTTTTTGTTTAAGTAAAGTGCTTATGCACTTTTTTAAGGGGGGGGGGAATCGTCGAATCACTGCTCCCGCCTGGGTGAGGCGGAAGGGAGTGTCAGACTTTTACTGACTAAAAACCACCCCGTACCTTCTCCTGCACGTCGAGCCGGAGCCCCGGTTACCCTTTAGGTTTTCCGCGACTCCGAATCGGCATCTCTGAGGAATGCGCATCTCGCGCATGCGATACACGCGCGCGAGCAACTTCGCCTCCAGATCCCACGGCGGTAATCCGACAAGGAGGTTCGCCGACTCCCCGGAGATCGTGCGGTATCCGCGGATCATTCGGATCGCCATGACCCTCTGTGACATGAGCAGCGTCCGAGCGGGACGCCGCAGATGTTCGGCGCCCACACAGGTGCGTCGTAGAGGGCCATGGACCGCACGACCCCGGCGTATAACCTCCGGCAGGCGTTTGGCCCCCCAAGGTTCGGGAGGATGCGCTTAAACGCAGCCCCCGCCCTCGCCAACTTTGGAGCCAAACGTCGGAAGTGCTCCACGAAGTTCCACCGACTCTCGAGGACGAGTCCTAGGTACTTCATCGCCGTCTTGACGCCGATGGTAACCGGCACCGCCGTTATTTGAGACCCACCCGGAGGTGGCGCGTTCCCGCGGCCATGAAAACACATGGCCTCGGATTTGTGGAGCGCCACCTCGAGTCCGACCGATTTAATGACGACAGCGGTTGCGACCAACCGCTGTCGTCATTAAATCGGTCGCCGTCTGGTGCGACTTCCCGTGCGCTAGCACCAGCGTGTCGTAGCATATTGTGCTAACGCCGTTCGGGAGGTCGGTGCGCAGCACCCAGTCCTAGCCGATGTTCCACAGGAGCGGCCCCAGAACCAAACCCTGGGAACATCGCGTGACATCTCTCGCCGGTTCCACTCGCCCCGGTGACCGGAGTAAATGACGGACCTGTCCGTCAGTCTTAGGGGCGAGGAGCAAGGCAGCAGCGCGTTTCTCCTTGCGCTGCTGCTGCCGTCGCTGCCGGGATGAGCCCGAGGTCGCGGGCGGGGAGGCCCGGCTCGATGCGAGCGGGGGGCGCAGGGGCCTGCCCTCTAGCACGTCAAAACAAGGCGGCCATCTCCCTTCGCAACACCTCGACTATGTCGGCATCTACTGAGGGCTGGGGCTGGGGGATGACTTCCCCGGGCAGTATTATGCATAGATTGCACAATATATGGTTCGTCAAATATGATATCCTTTGATATTCTTTGCTAAAGTAAAGCTATTATCTTAGAATTTATCATTCCATACTAGCTTATGCCCGCGACATCGTACGCGCATTTACGTTTTCTCCCGTTCCCGTAGGATTTTCAGGATTTTTTCTGTCTTAAGAACCGTTTCTTAATAATAACAAATACAACAAATAAAGAATTAGTGAAATCGGTCCAGCAAGTAAAAAGGGATTCATTTTTATAATTATATATGTACTATGTCGGAGGAGGCATGATTATGTTCCGGTTGCTAGGACATAATGTGGGCAAGTATGAGTATCGTGTAAAGAAAAGCGTTTAGAATTAATCACTGCGTTTCTTATAATCACAAGGTACAGTAACTGGGCGCTAAGCGAAACATGGGCAGTTCCGTGACAATATCTTAACTCAGTGGTGACTCGAACTGAAGTGAGCTCCGCCGAGTGCAACTCTGACGCCACAACTCTGCCTAAGCGCACCGGAAATCCGCTAGGTGGCGCGCTTGCGTTCCATTTAGCGTCCGTACTGGTCATCAGGCTCCGAAATGTATACAAATTACTGAAGAACAAAATTATAGACGAAAATATAAATATTTGTAGCCAAAGAGTCAAAGGGTATACTTTTTCGTGGATAAAAAATAAGTGACTGTAATTTGAAAAGTACCTACATGAATTAGATTTATATTTTTCTGATATTTTGGTACCTTGTCGATCACCTGGTGCCATTTGGACGTTGTATTTTATTTTGACTTTGGCAGGTACGGGGAAACCATGACACATATGGTGAAAGGCTGCGTCGGCGCTGGCTTGCTGGCAATGCCCAATGCCATGTACCGCATGGGCCTCATAATTGGTGTACTCGGTGTTGCATTCTTAGGAATGTTTGCCACATACTGTATACAAATACTGGTAAGCATACCTTAATGCTATCTTTGACAGACAGACTACGTACAGTCGAATCCGGATGTATTAAATATTTTCCAAACACATGAATATCTTTCCAAAATCCAGTGTGGGAGAGCCATGCTTCGGCACGAATGGGTAGGCTCGACCGGAGTGATACCACGGCCTCACAGAAGACTGACGTGAAACAACGCTTGCGTGGGTGAGGTTACCGGAGGCCCAACTACACCCCCCCTTCCCCAATCTCCCCAATCCCCGAATCCCCAACGATCCTCAAACTCCTGATCCCCGGACCGGTAACTAGCGTAACTAATAAGTGCGTTAGCACTTGTAAAGCCTGTGGTGTTCCTGGTGTCCATGGGCGACGCCGATTGCTTACCATCAGGTGATCCGTCTGCTAGTTTACCGGCTTATGCCATAAGAAAAACATTCAACTATTAATCTTCATCCGACTAACTGATTCAAAATGATTTGAATGACTAAAATCGATTATTCCATTCAAAAGCAACTGGTGAAACTGCGCTGTAACAACTAATGCTCTAATAACCTGTATACAATATACAATATAACATATACATATATATATATATATATTTGTGTGTGTTTCATAATGTTAAAATGTAGTAAATATAATGTAACGTAATGTAATTTTATCAATCAGACTGACAAAATCCATTGGCACTACTGGAATCGGCTTACTGCTGCGTGAACAGACGTCATGCATTCTTAAATGTTCTACAGTCGATGGCGCTGTGGGCTGGGTCGCTCCGTTCCCTACGAAATGGTTGATCGGACCGATTGCTGGCCCTCACGTCATGCTCGTGAACGGGCGTCTTCTGCTGGAGCAGGTCGGCTCGCTCGCGCGTGTGGGCCGATCCAGTAAGGTATATAGATATTAGACACAACCTTCTTTGTGAAAAAAAATGTGGTTAATGCAGGACGTAAGATTTTTGTAACAATTAATTTTGACTGTAAATTAAAAGAAAAAGTAATGGAATGACAAGGGCACGGACAAGAGTCCGTGGAGAATAAGAAACGTAAAAAATTAAAAAAAAACCTGTATACAAGCTGCAATAGAAATTGCCGATCTTTTTTTCAATTAGCCTCTGCTAACGTCACTAATTGCGAGTTAGGTAATAAAATGCAAATAAAACACGTATAAAATGTAGTTAGCATATTGTTAGAGAGATGGCAGCACTGGTAAACACTTAAAAGTGCCTAATGAAGATAATACGTACAATGAGTCAACAAAGTATCGGGAATGGATGATTTGTTTATGGTTCCGAAATAAAATTTTGTATTTTTTGTAGTTGTTAGATTGGCACAACTGTTTTCCATTTTGGCGCGGAGTTTGGGTTGCATCTGTTATTTATATTAAATACATTGTTTTAGTAATATCATATTATATAGTGTGTATTGCGATATAATGGACAAACATTTGTATCGCCAATGGAATTTCATGTTCAGAGTCACTGAAAATGTTACAGAAGGCTTACGGTGAATCAACTTTATGAAAAACTCGTGCATATGAGTGGTTCAAAGCGTTCAAAAGCGGTCGAGATGTGATGGAAGATTTGCATCGCTCTGGTAGGCCGCCAAAAAGTCAAGTCAAGTCAAGTCAAAGCATTTATTTTAATTAAACCATAGTTTGGTACTTTTGAAACGTCAACAAATACAAAATAAATAATAGTCTGTCAGTCAGTCCGTCAGTGAAACTAGGTGAAGCTAGGTGCTCATTCCAAAAAGTAGATTCGAATGGAGAAGAACGAGCAAGAAACTCCATTCGTTACTCTTTTTAAAAAAGTAAATTCTACAATGTCTCTGATACATATCTCAATACTGTACGCATATGTAAGAACAATGCAAAGACGCGCTTGACGCATTATACTAATAACTTACTAAAATAAAAAATATAAAAATCTTAAAGTCCAACATGGTGCTCACATATGCATACTGACAATCCATAGAATTGTGCTTCTATACAAGAAAAGGAAACTCTTTGTTTTAATAAAGAAATGCTCGATGCCATAAGGAAACTAGATTGTCTACATTAGAATTAAAGTGTTACATTATGTATTAAATTACCTACTATTGGAATTTAGCTACTGACTACATTTGAGTATTGTCCAGTGGAGCCGAACCAACATGCTGCCAAGCATTCTTATCTTCAAGATAATCTGTCAGTGTGTAGTAAGCTTGATTACATAATTCGCGCTTAATATATGCAACTTTTTTTTTTTAAAGGAACATTGCCCCACTCTCTGATTTTTTCCTGTGTCATGGGTGCGTTTACAAACATACAATATCACATACACAAACACATGACACCAGACCCGGAACAACAATCTGTGGATCACACAAAGAGTATTTCCGTGCGGGAATCGAACCCGCGACACGTTGCGCGGCAGCCAGTTGCCCAGCCACCGCGCCAACCGTGCAGACAAACAGACAACTAAAGTTAACATCGCCAAGTTGAAGAAAATAGTAACTGAAAATCCCCATTCTACTTTGAGAGAGTTAGCCGCCGAACATTCTGTATCTCACGAGTCGATCCGTACCATTTTTACCGACTTCAAAAAAAGGAGGAGGTATGTTGTATGTTCGGCTGATTTTTTTTTTTGTTTGTTCGCGCAGTACTCCGTCATTTGTGAACCGATTTCCAAAATTTTTGTTTTGTTTGAAAGGGTATACTCCCGAGATGGTCCCATTTCCATGAGGTCAGGATCTGATGATGGGATCCTAGGGAAACCGAGGGGAACTTTCAAAAAACTCATATCATAATGATATAACTTAATGTCCACAAAATTGTGAATTAGGTATCTATTAAGTTTTAATGAATAATTTTGTATGGAACTTATGGCACCGACTTCTTACCTATCAGTGGGTGGGTAACCTATCAGTACTAATAATAGTTATTTTTTGCTTTTTAGTTTTGACTTTTTGTTTGTTATTACTAATCATTTGGGTATGAAACATGTTGCTGCTCGGCTAGTCCCAAAAGATCTGAATTTTCTCCAAAAACTCAATCGCATGAAAGTCGCTGAGGACATGCTAGAACGAGTCAGTTCGGACCCAACATTCATGAAACTAAAAATTGTTACTGGTGACGAGACGTGGGTTTACGAGTTTGACTTGCAAATTAGTCAACGAGCTTCGGAGTGGCGCCTTCACACAGAACCGAAACCGAGAAAATCACGCCAAAGTCAATGTCATATTGACTGTTTTCTTTGACTATCGCGATGTTGTGTACTCTGAATTCTTACCGGAAGATCTAAGGGTAAATAAAGAATATTATTTGAGCGTTATGCGGCGTTTAAGAGAGCAAATTCGACGAACAAGGCCAGATTTGTGGAAAGAAAATTCTTGGATTATGCACCACAACAATGCGACTTCGCACAAGGCTATCATTGTCAACGAATTTTTGACCAAACACTCAACAAATACCATCCAGCAACCACCATATTCACCAGATATGTGTCCTGCTGACTTTTTCTATTTCTTAAATTCAAATTACCATTTCGTGGCACCCGTTTTCAGTCGATAGAGGACATAAAGGAGAATTCTGAACTCAATTCCGAAAGCAGCATTTAAAAAATGTTTTGATGAATGGATTATTCGTTGGCGCAAGTGTATCGTTTCTAAACGAGCATACTTTGAAGGTGATAAAATAAATTTGGATGAATGTCTGTAACATTTTGTGTATTATTGATCTTTTCCCGGTACTTTATTGACAGAGTAGTATATCGTCACTCCGCCTAGCTGGAGGGCGCCCCACACTACGTTTGTCTAGACGCGGTCTCCACTCCAGAACACTACTTTACACCAACTGTCATCGGTTCTTCGACAAATGTGATCGGCCCACAGCCACAGTTTGCTAATCCTTTGAGCTACGTCGGTAACTTCAGTTCTCCGTCGAAACACGTTTTGGAGTCGTTGTATGCAGTGATTGAAACAAGTTGAAGTCGTGTAGGCGTGGTCGCAAAGCGTGCTCGTCGAGGAGTGCTTTTATACCATTCCAGGTATATCCCTACTATATTTATTTTTTATTTTTTTTATTTATTTATTTATTTATATCAGGCAACGAAGGTCCATATTAAAATACAATAAAACTATAATATCTACTACAATTTTAACTTAAAATACTATAAATACATAATGTAAGTAATAAATTAAAACACTAATTATCACGACTATTGTGCTGTGTCGGCGTCGTGTGCTGCGCGGTGTCAGGTATCCGGCCGCGGAATCGCCGGAAAACAACACCTTTCGGCCAAAACTCTGGTGTCATGAATTTTGGTAAATCCACGGAAGGCACTCTCACCACAAATGAATTGAAATTCACGCTGTGGTGGGATTCTAATTTCAAAACCCTTAGAGTGTAATTCGTTTTGATCTGAATATACTCTACAATCTCCTCGACCTTTGTAGAGTAATGCAGCCTGGACACGTACAGCAGCGTCCCTGGTACAGCTGGACGCAGCAAATATTTCGGCCCGGTCGGTGCAGTTCCTTTGAACAGTGATAAAGCCATCTCTATCGCTTTGCAGCTTTTGGCGGTTTACGGCGGCGGGCTGACAGCTCTTCTGCTTAATCCCCTTTTCAGTAGGTCACTTAGTCTGCAATGCAGTTGTTTTCTTGGCGACAATATCTGCGTAAGCACGTGTAGGGGTCGTCGTACCTACGTGTGACGTTACCGCAGCCGGTGTAGAGGTGCGGGTGACGGCGACGGCGAGCGATGCTTCGTCAGCCATCTTGGTAGTTGACAACACACTTGTATTCGCAGACACAAAACTGCCGATTGTGGCGTTTTGTGCTCCTCGACGTGTGTTCACCTTTGAGGCCTCAGGTGACCTAATTACTGAACCTGTATTGCGCAGTGATGTAATTTCGGCACGTAGATCAGCAATGATATTGTCTGACTCCTCCATTCTGGCCTGCATCTTGGTCATCTCACCTTTCAGTGATGTAATGTCCTTTAGCAGTCTCGTAACATCAACGTGATCGAAGGTGACAGGGGGTAGTTTACTATAGCAATGCTCACACCCAATGAGACATCAGGCCGCCACGTGCATTCCGAAACAAAGTTTATTGTTTATCATAAAATCTGTGCAATACATTTAAAACATAATTGGTACGAACAATAACAAATTAACAGACACAATGAATAAAGCTAAACTAGAATAGAGCAATTCGGGAAGTTAACGCTAGGCCTTAAAAGTAGAAGAGACAAAAGGACTTTATTGTACTGATTGGCGTTTTGGTGCTCTATTGAATTTCGCCAACATTTGGTCGGCAGCTGGTGTGGCCTCAACCTCAATAAGCCTTACAGTAGCGCGTGTAGTTGGAATACTTTGCAAGATTAACAGTTTTTTGTTGATTGCATACGTTTCCCAATGTAAGTATATAGTGTATACAGAGCCTTATTACAAACCAGTCGTGCAATTTAAATTACACCCGGTGTAAAGATAAAATGCAGTTCAAGTATATTAATCTATTACATATCAATTTAATGACAGTGTGTGTGCAGGTCCTCGGGCAGTACGCCATCTGTAAGAAGAACAAAGTGGGCTACTTGTCGTACCCCAAGAGCATGAAGCTGGCGCTGGAGTCTGGCCCCCCCGTCTTGCGCTGGTCTGCCAATATATTTGCCGTGGCTGTTGACGTTTTGCTCTTTGGCTGGCAAATAGGAGTTTGCTCTGTATTTTTGGTTTTTGTCGCTGAAAATTTAAGACAGGTTCGTGATTCTAATGTTATTTGTTCGTCACGTGGGCAAGGTTCTCAAGTAATAAAAATAGGGATAATTGTGTTTACCTTTCTAAAATCTAATTATTATGTTTTTCGGGTTACTAAAATAGCAAAAACAGAACAATATTCAGACCCAAGACAAAATGCATTCCTCTTAAGGGATTCAGGTCGACTTACCCTGTAACCCTGTATAATAATAATAATAATAAGCCCGCAGGGCACCTTGAGGCGAGGTGACGGGCATTAGCGATCCCGCGGGCTACCATCATCCCGAGTGCTCCAGGGAGAAGTCACCGTTCCTTCTTCTCCGGCTTGCCTTAATTGGCTGGCTGGAGTGAACGATGACAAGGAACAGGTCTCCCACCTCTGGCTTGCCTTCATTGGCCGTCCAGAGTGGAGTCGCGAGAGCAGTGATCCTGCTCGGAGGGTAAGAAACTATTCGTAAGTCGCGAGTGGGCCAGGGATGCAGGAGGCTTCGGCTGGAGCAGATGATCTGAGTAGAAAGCGGTGGTAGTTTCTTAACCCTTCAGCCACTCACATTCTCGTTGCCCCTTTGTTGCTATATCTAGCAGCCATTCCCGGGGCCCGGTCGGTGAGTTGGCGAGTCTCCGCCTGCCATTTTTACGTGTAATAATTACATTGTTTCGGCAGGTGCCATAGTCATCCATAGTTCCCAATTTTCCAGTCCACAGCAACCCATCCATAGCCCTATCTTTTTTTTTTCCATTATCCTCAATAGTTTTACACTAACCGGAGACTGTCCTTGGGTGCATTTCCATAGTGCATACAGGGACAGTCGCCGGTTTGTGTCTCCATTACATTTATATTAAAGTTGTCTAAAGGGCCTCTGCGCAGTTGGCTTCGGCCCCTCGCATGCCTTCCAAATGACCGGGACCCTGTGGTCCCGTGAATGGTAAAGACACACATAATAATAATGTTTGTTTGGACCAAACAACCTATTGAATGCTAATAATATACAAAAACTTATTACTTAGTGCGAGTACCCACCACCATATCCACAAATTGTTAGGAAGTAAGAGAGCTGTAACTCTAAACTGTCTGTGTAACATACTGCGTGTGTAAAATATATTGTACTTAGATATTCAGTAATTGTATCGTGACATATAAGTTGGCTAAAAGTTAAAGTAGTAATTTTTAGTTTCGCATGGTGTGCAATGATCAAATAATTATTTAATTTGTCAACAGTTCATTGAATTTTGCGGCGGCGGAGTCATGCCAGTGAGGATAGTCATCTTATCTCTGTATCCTATCCTGGTCACCGCATGTTTGATAAAGGATCTAAAAAAGTTGGCGCCTCTATCTACATTCTCTAATGGTTGCAATGCGTTCGGGCTAGTTCTTATATTTTTTTACCTGGTACAAGATGATATCGTCATCAAGGAGTCCATGTTCGAGATGAAATCATTTTATGACATCCCCGTGTACATCGGTATAGTCCTGTACGCGTTGGAGGCCGTGGGCGTGGTGAGTAGCTCTACATGTCTAGACATAGAATAATGTTCTTATTCCGAAAATCTGACAGAAACGGAACTGTACGGATAAAACCGACTACACTGCGTGTCAGATAAATCTCGACGTAGAGTAGGGTGAAATATATTATAACTTTTATAATGAACATTCCACGGAGACGCGCGTAAAACTTCGAACTATTATTTTATGTATTTTGTACCACGTAATCTTTTGTAATCTCACAATAAAGGCAAACTAGAGTACTGACTTGATTGAAATTTAATATCATACATAGAAATAGGCCTTGGTATAGGGGACAAGTCAAAACAATCTAAAATATGTCTGATGTTATAAATTAATGGATGAAGTTGCGGGCAAAAGCTAGTATTTACATAAATTACAGTCTGTCTATTTAATCATGAAAATAAATGAGGGCGCCACAGTCGTGCACATGACAATCCCCACAGCGCGACTAAAACAATACTAAATGACCGATAACAATTAGTGATAGTGTGGGAGAGCCATGCTTCGGCACGAATGGGCCGGCTCAACTGAAGTGATACCGCCAACGAGCAGAAAACCGACGTGAAACAAACATCGCTTAATTAAGCAATGGTGTAACTGGCATAAGCATCCAATTTCACATGAACAAAGACTCGTTACTACTATTAAATAATAACGGTGATTTAACAATGAAATGATCTGTTATATTATTTTATTTATTTATTTGTTTGTTTGCAGCCATGATCGTCCCACTGCATGGTAAAAGCTCCCTACCCTCTTTCCACTATACATGTCCATTCCGCCGCCCATCCATCCGTCCATCCCCTTTTGGGCCTGCGGCGACGTCTATAGACGTCAATTGAATATTTGAAAATGGTTTTTATTACATTCAATCATTATTGTTAACACTGGCAAACTATGTCATCGTCGTTTCATCGTTAACTTTAATTAGAATAATATTAGGCACTTTTAAACATGAAACAAATTAAAAAGCGACTACGAGTTTATTCTAAAACTACATAAATTATAATTTATTATTAGTAAACGTCCTAAAAATTACACCGCCTCCTACTACGCCTACTTTGACTTCAGTGCAGTGTCGCGTTATTCTCGTTGTGTCCATTATGCCTAAGAAACAGACAGGTCACAATGAAATGCTTTTTTAAAATCATCGAATAACTTAAAAGTTAAATATTATAATAACTGTTCATTTCTGCCTACCCCTTTGTTCGACAAAAGTGTTGAAAATTATCTGTTCTATAACCCTATACGAGAATATGCTCTAATAAAAAATCACCCCGCTACATGAATTATACGTATAATATAATTCACTCAGCTCCGTTCCGAATTGTTCGTTTGCATGTGTTTAACTCCTACTCAGTTCTATTCACTGGACTCCTAAATTAACTATTTTTATTTTTAACAAAAATGATTCCTTATTCAAAGTCGATACCAGCTGATGATATTTGACGTACATACTTTAAGTTAGTGTTACCATACTTTTGAATATTGTTCGTTGCTCAAACACTTTTTTCATGAATAAATAGACAGACTTTACCTATTATTGTGGTCTACAATCAAGATTACTTAATGTAACTATATCGATAAATAACGCACGCTCCTAATGAAGTGTTCTGAAGATCAATTGTAAATTGATCGATTCGAGATGCGAAGTAACGCGACGGTATTGGAAGTGGTAAACTAAAGTGATAAAGTGGTTCACGCCGTGCCGCGCGCCGTCGCGATGCTCAATTACGCATAGCGTGAAAGCATGTAGACAATAAAGTTTAGTATTTTGAGCTGCTCTTTAAAAGTGCACACGCAGAGCGTCGCGTTTCGGTGTAAGCTGACCTTTGATGTATCCTTTAACCGCTTGTATGTCCGTAGATTCTGGCACTCGAGAGTAACATGGAGAAACCGAAGGAATTCACGGGGGTGTTTGGACTCTTCAGCATCGGTATGACTATCATTGTCATCTTGTACACCATTCTGGGCGTCTTTGGATATATGAAGTATGGAGATGATATTAAAGCATCCATTACGCTCAATCTACCGCAGGATGAGAAGTAAGATTTGTTAGTACTTGATTCACATTTCTACACTGTCAGTCTACAGCAATGTCACATATAGGCTCTTCCTAGAAGTAAAGATCAAACTGAACAAAGGCACAGAAGGGTTCACGTCCTTTAGAAGTTATGAACATTTTTCGTTTTATTTTATTTTAAACTAACTGTTCCCCGCGACTTCGGCCACATATAATTATTTCAGCAAGTATATCTTTAGCTATAATCCAGTGTCAGATAGAATCCTCACAATAGAGCTAAAAACCAATTCCCGGCGCGGAATGTAGAGCTGATCACAGCCGGCATCTAGTCGGCAACCTAGACACTTGGATCCCCCCGAGCCCCCGATTTTCCGTAGGGTACTAAAGGCGCATTTCAAAGACTCTCCAGTGCAACAAAACGTTAATACTGATACTCAGTGGAAACAGTTCAAAGACAATCTAACCAAAAAAAAAACCCGAATAACTGACTACTACACGTGGGAACTTATGCAACGTAGAAAATAATTGAGAGTTGGAGGACTACAGGGTAATGCAATGACTACACCAAGATTAGCAGAGCCATACAGGCCAGCTGTCGCCGTGATAGGAACACGTACATCCAGGGAATTTATAACGATATCGAAAGTCATTCGAAGAAGTTTCAAACTGCAGCTGCTCTGAAAGTTAGAGTCCTTCCCAAGCAGTTCATAGATCATGGGTGATACAAGATTTGGACGGCACGGTATTACTCAAGCTCAACCGCATTGCTGGCAGATGGCGTGCATACTGTGAGCAGTTATACAAAAATCCTCACCCTTTGCCTGTTGCTGTCCCGGAATGGAAGGATTTAGATCTGGAATCCATGATTCTGCCCTCTTAAGTATCCACTGCAAAAGTAGCTTAGTTTTATCTAACTTCTTATTACTTCTATTAGGTGTTACTTATAGTTTGATGAAAACTAAAATGATTTAGCTTAGAGGTTCGGGATGCCGTCTCCTCCTTCTGCGAAGCAGTCATGCTAGCTAGAAGGCGGGGCGAGTGAGGGAACGAACCTCCACACGTCTCATCTGGCACGGGAGACACTGCGGGCTTCAGAGATCGCGCGACGATATCTGGCCACCGTAAGTGCGGGTCTCCGGACGGCGAGCAAGGGCAGCTCGCTGCTCAATCAGAACCAGACCTGTGGGAACGGCGGGTTACGCTCCGCGCGCGCTTCGAAAACCTATCAGACCACTACAGATGACGCCCACTTGGGCTGATGCCCTATATGGAGCCGCGGAAGGTCTAACGGGTTGCTTGTGCTCCAGATCGAAGAGTGAGAGTAAGAACGGAGTGGTTTTTAGTCAGTAAGAGTCTGACACTCTCTAACGCCTAACCAAAGGCGGGAGAAAGCAATCTTCGATGATTTTCCCCTTAAAAGAATACAAGATTCTGCTTTAACAACTAGTCACCGTGTACAGGATGTCATAATTATTTGAGTCGAACTAGAAACACTGTTCCATGTTCCAATAACATATTTAGACCACTAGCCTTATTGTTTAATTGATGAAACTGACCGGAATGTTTACCCCGTAGGAAGGCGCACGCAGCTAAGTTGCTATTCGCCGCAACAATACTGACATCATATCCTCTACAAAACTTTGTGGCTTGGCAAATCCTTTGGCCAATAATGCAAAAAAAGTACCCATCATCCACGGTGGACTATGGAATTCGCGTACTATGTGCCTCCATCCCATGTGAGTACGCATTACCCATCCTGTCTTATTCTGTGTGTGCTCTTATACTGTATTTTGTTTATACAAAGCTGAAAGTTTGTTTGTTTGTCTAAAAGCGCTAACCTCCGGAACTACAAGCTCAAGTTGTGTAATTCATATTGTGTTGTGAAAGTCAAAGTCAAAATCATTTATTTCAATTAGACCAGGATGGCACTTTTGAACGTCAAGCAACAAAATTTATAAGTGAAGCTAGTTGCTCATTCCAAGGCGTAGATTCCTATGGAGAAGAACGAGCAAGAAACTCCATAGGTTACTCTTTTTTAATCAGGTTTACAATACAATTCTCTAGTTACATAGTTTTATTGGTTCGATTATGTGAGAACAATGCAACACCTAAATCCAGTTAGAAAGACTGAAAAAGAAAATAACCTTGAGGATAATAAAATAAAATGATACAGTCAGTTGTATGGATATAATTGTTATAATTCATTTACCGAGGAAGGCTATCAATTTCATGTAAATAATTAATTTCATTAATATTGTTATAAATTATTATAATCAGTACAAAAGAACTATAGTCAGAATTTTAATTAGATTCCAGATTTGACAATAGCTACTGTCATTTTGTGAAATAATGATACCACATATAATAGTGTAGTGATGCACACAAAAATCGATAAACAATCAGTGTGTGTGTTTTATAATAAATGTTACAGAAAGTGACAGGATAACGATAGCGATGACGGCGACAATTTATAACATAACTTGTTACCATAATACATCTATCTGTTTTATTTGTCATGTTCCTTCATGATTACATTTTTTTATTTATTTCACACATAATTATAAAAGAAAAGTCTCAGATCGTTAATTAATCGTCAAAACTAAATTATCGGTTGAGAAATATTTAATTTCCTGATATACTTAGTTTACGAGAGTAAAATTATAAACGAGAAGAATCGATCCAGAAATATTGCATTTCCATATCGAATAATTTCGCAACGTCACTATTTAGTAGTTCTCATAACGTTGCAACACTGAAATTGTCAAATCTAGAATCGAATTAAAATTCCGAGTATAGTCAACTTTGACATCACACAGGGGATACATTGAAACTTTTCATTAAATCACTTTTTATTAAACCACTGAACCAGTTTGTTAAACCGAAACGGTGAAGGAAAACATCGCAGGAAACATAGGATTATAACTTGTACTTATATACGATTGAAATCACCAATCCGTAATATTACTGACCCATTAATATGGATGACATAAGAAAAATTATAGTTTTTGCTAGTAGATTTGACAAATTGTTACTGTTACAAAGGTAGGCCTTTAAATGATTGGGCTCGCTGTCATTGCAGCGGTAAGTCCCCTCTTTGAGGAGTGGCTTGAGAGACGCTACGGCGTCCTCACCTTCCGCCTGACGCAGGTGCTTACCGGACACGGAAGTTTCGGTAGGTTCCTGTTTCGGATTGGGCGGGAGGAAACGCCCGGGTGTCATCACTGCGAGGATCGGCTGGAGGACACGGTGGAGCATACGGTCATACGGTGGCGGTGTGTCCTGCGTGGACTGAGCACCGCCGTGTCCTCAGGAATGTGATCGGCGACGGCGACCTCTCGCGTCCGGCTCTGGTTCAGACCATGGTACGGAGCGAGGGGGACTGGGATGCCGTCTCCTCCTTCTGCGAAGCAGTCATGCTAGCTAAGGAGGAGGCGGAGCGCGTGAGGGAACGAACCTCCTCACGACCCGGCCGTCGCGAGAGACACTCCGGGCGTCGGGGATCGCGAGACGATCTCCGGCCACCGTAAGCACGGGCCTGCGGACGGCGAGCATGGGTGACTCGCCGCCCGACCAGTACCAGGCCCGAGCGTACGGTCGGTCGCGTCGCGTTCCGCGCGCGCCTCAAGGAGCCATCAGACCACCACAGATGGGGCCTAACAAGGCTGATGCCGATACGGAGCCGCGGAAGACTTAACGGGTTGCCGGGGCTCCGGTTCGAAGTGCAGGTGTAGGAACGGGGTGGTTTTTAGTCAGTAAGAGTCTGACACTCCCTCCCGCCTCACCCAGGCGGGAGAAGTCATTGGATGATTTTCCCCGCTCAAAGAAAAAAAAAACAGGCCTTTAAATGATAGAAATTGGCCTTTCATACAAACCTTGGCGCAATCATTCGACTCCTCTGTTTCCAATGACTCCTGTTGTATTTCAGATTATAATCTCTCAATGGACCAATCCGTCCACTCGTTTTTCGTGAAAGAGTAACATAAATCCATATAACCCAAAAACTTTCGCAGTATATTATTGGAAGGATAGGATTCCATTATCCAAATATCCCGTACAAAAATAATTATTTAATTCGAACCAGTAACTTTAGACAGCGCGTGTATATTTTATGAAATGATAGATCATGGAATATTGTCATACCTCATAGACTTTAATTTGGTCTAGTCAAAAGATTAAATTCTATAGCGGCGTGTTCATTGAGAGCGATCGTTTTTCATCTCACGATCTGAGTGATCGTGTGATTGTTAGTGTGTTGAAGTGGCAGTGGACAGGGTACATAGCGCGGAGAACCGACGGCCGCTGGGGCAGAAAGGTTCTCGAGTGGAGGCCACGTACCGGCAAGCGCGGCGTATTACGTCCATCCGCAAGATGTACATACTACTGGTTACGGTCGCATGGGGCTGCTGGATGCAAGTCGCTTCCAATCTGGAAGTCTTTGCACGAGGCCTATGTTCAGCAGTGGTCGTCCTACGGTCCGCCATAGCCATAGCTTGTTGTGTTTATGAATAATAAATAAATAGCTGATATGATGATGATGTAAATACTAACATACCGGTGAAATGTTTTAATTTTTTTCTGTAGACTCGATATTCTAACTTTTGTTACCATACCATATTATATTTTTATTGCCCATATTCTAGTAGACTACTATGATATAACTTAATGGCCACAAAATTGTAAAGTAGGTATCTATTAAGGTTCTAATGAATAATTTTGTTTAGAACTTATGGCGCTGTCTTCCTAACCTATCTGTGTGTGGGTAACCTATCAGTACTAATAATAGTTATTTTTTGCTTTTTAGTTTTTACTTTTTGTTTGTTATTAGTTTTTAGTTTTATGAAGTCGGTTTTTTAAACGCAGTTTTTTATTTTCTTATAACTCAGTAATGTTTTAATCCAAAATAATTATTGAAATTGTGATAATTTACACTCTAGACACACAAAAATTATTTTAACCGTCTTTGTGTTTTTGTGACATTTATTTTTGGTACGAAAACGTATCAAGTGCTAGACTAAAGTAACAAGGACTTGTTGCAGTTGCAATGGCGGTGGCGGCACCCACGTTAGGTCCGATCATTGGACTGGTGGGGTCGCTGTGCCTGTCTACGGCGGCGATCATGTTCCCAGCCGTGCTCGACATCTGCGTACTGTATCCCGACAAGTACGGACCTGGCAGCTACAAGCTGTTGTCGGACATAATGATCATACTGCTTGGTGGCTTCTGTTGTTTCTCTGGCGTCTACACCAGTATGCTTGAGATAGTTGAAACACTGTCATAAGTAATAACAGCTGATTACACAGAACTCACAATCAATTGCCAATATTGTACACTGGGCTACACATAAATATTTCTTTGGGCCTGCATATTGTTGAGCCTGTTTGGTTATCTACATTATAAGTCCAGTCCTACGCATTGTACATGAAAGTATGCACCTGTATCACAGTGACAGCTTTACACAAGACGTGACTGTTTGAAAATTAAAATGTCGTATTCTTGAACAGTCTTATCATTGCCATCTTTTCATTTCCAATAATTTTATAAGGAATATGGATAATATAAGAACCACCCCTCAATAGGAATAAGATAGGTAACCCTCTATAGACAGGTATTCTTAAGCAGAATGGTGCTAGAATGCGGGTGGACCGCAGGGCTCAATACTAGGTCCATTTTTATTTTTGGCATGGACCGTAGATAGTATTATTTGCTGACGACACATCATTTGTATTTAATATAAATAGACGAACAAATAATGGTGACGACGTAAGTCCTGCCTTCGTTTTTGCTACTTTTATGTAAAAGATCCGTTGCTTTATTCTTTGAAACAATACAACTTCAAGTGACTATACCAGCAGAGGCGTAGTAGATTATTAAAACACAAATTAATTTGTGATAAGGTTTTGTTTTCTTAATAAGATATTTATAAAAAGTCTATGACGGATGTTCCGCAGATTTTTCATAAAATAACTACGATTTCTCAGCTTTCTAATGAGGTATAACATGCTAGGGTAAAGTTAGGATTCTCGGAACAAACTTGAAACAGACACAGAAACGAACAACGAACTACATATTTGATTTGCTCGACGATATACCTCTACAATTACACCTCATTCATGACATGTGGTTTCTTCACAACGGTTGCCCGCACGCTTAAGAAGAATTGTAAGTGCATTGGAAGATGTGGACTACCGTAGCCAGCCAGGAGTCTAGACTTTTATGTGCGGGGTCATACATAAAAATACAAATATAAAAAAACAGAACAAAATTTAGACAGACAACAAACAAACGGCGCAGTCGACCGAAATCTGGAATTTTTATAAAAATAATTCAATGGGCAATATCTTGAGAACGGTTAAGTTTGGGATATGGGGTTCCACAAATTGGTCAGGAACGATGCATACTACCACTACCACCTCTTAAAGTATTAATGTCGACTTAACCTGTGACCTTTTATACACATTGATACGAAGCACGTATTAAACTCTTTGATACGAAGTACTGTCACTTGACATGGCCTACCATTACACTACATAACGGTGTTGCAAGTTAATTAACATATTGGGCAAATGTTTTGTATTAGGTCCGTACATATTATCTATCTATACTTATAATAAATCTGTAGAGAGGTCAATTCTGTACATAAAATATATTTAAAAAATAACTATCAAGGGGTGATTAGGGATCGCTACTGATGCCAAAAATGCAATCAGTAAAATTTTTGTCTGTCTGTCTGTATGTTCGTTATGGAAACAAAAACTACTCGATGGATTTTAACGAAATTTGGCACAATTATTCTTCATACTCTTGGGCAGGTTATAGTATACTTTTCATTACGCTACGATCAATAGGAGCAGAGCAGTGAAGGGAAATATTGGGAAAACGGGAGAAGTTACTCCATTTTTTAAGCTTCCGTCGCGTGTGCAGGCTTATAGGTTAAAGCTGCATGGAAATCATGTATCACGGAAATATTCTCCTTAAAATTATATAAAAAATATTCCTCGACAGTATATGTCTATCTTTTATGGTTGACTCACAATAACACGTGAAACTCCCGATAGCTTAGCAATTCGGTGATTTCTGATTGTATTTGTCTACTCTAACGTTTACAATACTGATTCATAGACTTTACGCTGTATCTGAAAGGCCAATGGTTGAAATTAGCTTGACTCGATATTATAAATGAAAATATGTGAGTTTATGTGTATGTTTGTTACTCAGTCATATTAAAACGACTGAAGGGACCGGAATGAAATTCGGAACAGAGGTAGATTATGGTCTGAAGTGATACATAGGCATTTTACCGCTGGAATCGCGGGCGAAGCCGCTGGCAGAAGCTAGTTTACAATCTGACAGTATATTTGATAGACTGTCTGCTACAAATAATGCATGGAACAATAATTGGGTACAAATAGCAACAAAAGAAACAATTATTATGCAAGAACTGAGAGTTGCAAGTGCCGTGATAAAATTAGCCCTATTAATAAAATTAAATAATGCAACCTATATATATATATATATATATAAATGATCTAAAATATATATATATATCCCGTTGTTAAAGTCAAAGTCAAAGATCTTTATTGTGAGACAGTGGTTACAAAAGTTGTTCTAGGTTCTAGGTTGTCACGCCATAACTTGAGAATGGCTGGACCGATTTGACTAATTCTATTTTTGTTGTATTTGATATTATTACGAGAAGGTTCTGAAGTCAAAAAAACCTAAAATTCCTACGGCAACGGGAGAAAACGGGATTGCGCGTACGAATTCGCGGGTAGAAGCTAGTTGTTTATAAAAATAAAAATAAATTAGTGTATTATTGCTTGTTTGTATAATTAACCAAAAATTAATTAATTGTACCTATAGCTATTTAACTATGCTTGCGCAAATCATGTAACAATGCAACCCTTAAGTTTGAATTAAGTGCCAAGGTTGAATAAGTTGCATTAAACCACCTTTACGCTTGGTAAAAAGCACCACATCTATCTTCTATATATATAAAAGAAAGACGTTTCAGCTAGACCAATTTTCATGGTTTTTAGTTCGTTGGGTTTGTGCCCGCCCCGAGTAGCAGAATATATCTTAAAAATAACGAAAACTCGACGAGAACATGATTATAAAAGATGAATCATTTTCCCTCAATGTTACTTTATTTCATACCTGTCAAACATTTGTTGTTTCGTACCTGTCAAACATTTGTTGTTTCGTACCTGTCAAACATTTGTAGTCCAGTGGTTGAAATGCGTTCAGAAATAAGATTTATTTTATAGGTTATCGAAAACGTAAGTTTTTCTAAGATTAATGATTACCACTCACTCCATCTAGATCTAGACATTACAAAATCAAAGTTTTTTTTTCTTCTATGGCAATTGAGTCCCCACTATTTAGTAGTTGACTATTCTGCCAGCGCCATGTGTGTAAATTATAATCAAAGTTATCTTGCAACCGTAATGTGTGAAGTGTAATGACAGGCAATGTCACGCGACAGAAGTGCTTCGTATCAATATGTGTTTGGTCTGCGTGTAATTCTGTAGCCTGGCGCCACAGTCGTTGTAACAAAAGACTGTGTCCGCCTTTTTTTAACGTCCTTTACCAAAGTAGGTATAGCATATGTAGGTATACGTACTCTTTGGATATTTATTTTTGGAGTTGATTTGCAGCAGCGCTTGTTGTACTCTTTGGAACAGGTACAACTCAAAGTGTCAACTTGATCAACAGCCATCATTCAAACAATAGCTTGATTTTTCCGAGTTTGTAGGTTAGGATTGTGCAAATGTAAGAATAGTTCTTAGGTTAACAGCACACGTTAGGTCCACAGCGCAGTGCAATGATGTCGGCCGCCGTCCTGTGAGTACCGAGACACGTCACCCGCGCAACATTCCGTCAAGTTTGCGCTTATAGTCTTAGAGTGCTGGGACCAATTGAATTGTTTTTCTAATGAAATAATCTTTAAGCTATTTATTATTTTGGTTTTTTTATTGCACAACAAATTTGAACTAATTCCTAAGAAGCCATGTACCAAATATGATAAGAATCCGCTTAACCATTTCAAAGATCTAGCAAAATCAAAAACGTTACCCCAGCAAAATCTCAAATAACTTCGTAACCGATGATAGAACAAATACAAAACAAGGCACAACATTTACTTCATCTAGACAACTAATTTCATAGCTAGTAATGGACATAAATAAAATAAATATGAACTATTACTAAATGAAAATACACCCTTTAATTTTAGTCGTTTTAATCCCATGGACCTGTGGTTTAACTAACAGAATACTACTCATTACAAGCATGTACTGCGGTGTAACATAAACAAATGATAAGATTATACTCGCAAAATGTATGAAACCAAAAGTTGCGCCACGAGTAGTTACCTACGTCGTCATCGGTCGTTGCGTATCGGGCAGTGTAGGTACCTACACGGCCCGATCAAGCATAAGGTTATTGACTCGATCAACTGATGTTTGCGTAGGTAAACAAATAAATTGATTCCAAATTTTCCTTCATACTTTTACGGGCTTAGGACCGACATAACTGTACTAACGTTTCGCATTATTTATTCACTCATGCGAGAATTGATTCGAGTTATTAAAAAAAAGTACTTTATTTTTTAATTTTATCTTTACAAATCGATAGTGTTTCATGGACCAGTTCGAACCTCCAAGGGATTAAAACGATTAGAATTTAATGGTGTATATACAACTTAAAATATAAATAACTATGAACTTAAATATTTACACTTTAAAAAAAATAATAAAAAAGCTATCATAAGGCATCAAAAAAAAATTTTCCTCATCGTTATCGTGAGGTAGAGTGCCCAAAAGACTGGCAGCATTGCCACGTTGGATGGTAATGCTTATCTAAGGTAGAAGCCAGCCCTTCGATCACCTGAAGTATCAACCATCCTCCTTACAATATCTTTGTAAAGAAGATGTGCACTTGGGCCCCACGGCCCTAAAATTTCAACCCCAAACGGTTCGAAAGCATAATTGCCAATTAGGCTATCATACTTTCGCCGTTTGACGTTCTCGACAGCAGCAGCGGCAGCACCGGCTCGACACGCTGAGTTCGGAACATGGGATGGCGCCAGAGTATCAACGCAAGTGGCGTCCCATACTAAAAGCCTACCCATCTTCCAAGGGAATAATGACACCGTCGGGTCTCTTGCCATCGTTGCGTACCAAGCCATTAGGTTCTAAAGTAGCTGGCACGCCGACAGAGACAAGAGCTCGACGAATTATGTCATTAATACTTGCGTGTCAAGCAAAACAACCCGCACTACGGCTACACGACAACGACAACGATGAGGTGAACAAAATGAAGCTCCAAGCCTTAAACAAATTGCAGCGCGGAATGTGGTGTCGTCCAACAAAGTACCTAAGTTGGACGAAGGCAAAGCAAGAAACCATAACCCCGACTCCCACTCACCTACAGCCAAAAGGCGAGCTCGCTCTGCAGTTGAACAAGCGGAGTTCAACAGATTTTCACTCACTTTTCTGCAGAGCGGCTCGTCCCATTATCTCTGGGAGAGTGATTTGACGGGGGGGTCAATATTTGGGCAAGCGATCTTCCAAGCTTTCACAGCTTCCACTAAACAAGTGCCTTGTTTAGTCGATTCGGTCAATTTTTTCCAAAAGAAGGGGTGCTGACCAGAGATGGGTCGAGCGCAGATAGTACATAAATTTGGGACCAAAACAACAAAAACGAATAATAGTGTAATTATGTAGCTAGTAATTATTTAAATATTCCCATTAGAAAGAAAAAGGTCTGGCTGGGGTAACGTTACCCCAGCAGGAAATGTTTTTGTGAAATAATTAAAAAACTATAAGCGCAACAAATTTAAAAATGTGCGCAACAATTACAGAAGCCGCACAACTAATTATCTATAAGATTCACATGACTATTTTCAACAACATCTGGCCTGGGTGACGGTATTTTTTGGATAACGGTTGGGTCCTTGCCGATCGATGCCGGGACAGGGTGTAAGTCCACAGAGCGGCCCTGCCGCTGCACCACAGTGCCATCGCCGCGACACACTACTTGGATGATTTTCCACATTATACAGTCTAACAGTCGTATAAATAGCAACACAATACAAATTATTACTTCAGTAGCTTCTGCCAACGCTTTCGTGGCAAGCCACAAACACCAGGAAACACGATTTTACAAAAATGCAAGCCTGAGTAGAAAGTTAGATATAGATCGTTCAAGCTGTTTCTGTTACTGAACTAAAGTGTAAACTAAGTAAATATATTATTGAATAAACGTGCTTCTAGCTACTATATGTGGTTGTACATGCGCGGGGCGCTGGAAGAAGAAAGACGTTAAAGGAGATGCGTTCAAAATTCTGTTCTGCCTCTTCGCTGCTGGCGCATGTTTTGTCTGAGTTCGACAAACTGTTACTTAGAAATAGTCTCTTGTTTGTCCTCTTTCACCTGAGTTGTTTGTACGCCGCCTGTCAGCCACTAGCACCACAATAGTATGTGGTGCTGCTACTGCAGTTACAGCGGTGATCTCTGTAACATGCTTCTTGTACCATTTTCTCAGCACGTATTTATACAATTTTTTTTTGTGTCAGCGCACCCCGCTTATGCAGTGAGATTCATTTATTTAGATATTTCATTAGTTTACACTTCAGTACAGTAATAGGGACAGCTTGAACGATACATATTTTGATTTTTACTATGACGTGCATTTATGAAAGCGTGTTTTTCTAGTGTTCTTAAACTATTAATTTATTTTCATTTAGGTAGTCATTTTAATTACGAGAATAGGCCCGAATTCTCTCCATCTCGGTCAGTGTGTGAATATTGCGTAGGATTTATTGCAATATGGATTCATTATTATCTTAAAACCTAAATGTGTTTAAATTACATTACATGACCTCTATCGCGAGGTCCCAGTTCCACCATGAAATGCCAGTGCCAACTTCAGCTTCATATCAGACCTTCAAACTCAATTGTGGTCGAAGTTTAAAAATATTAAACCTAGGAGTCGACCAGTAGTGAGCATGGTCCAAGCTACCGGTGGTTGGGGCTCCAGAGGCAGAAACATTCTCACGATACGTGCCATTTCCAGGAGAACTGCCCTCTGTATCAGGCCCTTGATCTATCCACCTAACGCCAGCCTACTGAGATGAATGTCGAGGCTTGTAAGGATTAACCCATTGGCCGCACAATGATAGCCGAATCCACACTGCTCATGTCGACAACCTCGTGAGCTAAGTCAAGATATTTTATTTGCTTATCTTTCTCAGCTTCTCGTCATGGGGAATGGTGACATCGATTATCATCGTGCGGCGCACTTGTCGGTTTATCACCACTATGTCAAGTCATCACTTTCTTTTTAACCATAGAATTGTTCCAATCTTGTAATGAATTAATATTATGGAACAGGACAGGTGTAGCGCAGGAGTATTTGCGCCTGCGCTCTCGGTCGCCGCCGCCAGCCACAACGCCCACCTGCCCCGTGCTGCTGGACCGACTCACGCTGTCCAGGGACCGACTTCCAACCTGCGAACCGCTTTGTTGCGTCGGGCACGATAAGTAAACAAAGAAACAAAAATAATTTATTTGTTACAACACATCTTATCTATTATATCAAGCTGAATAGTTTAGTTATTTATTTATTAATTTATACTTCTGCATAATGTACGATGGTGGACTTAACCGGGTGGCATTATCTAACAGTCAGACATGGGGTGATGTAGACATGTGCAACAGTAGCTGTAACAGGTATTAAGACACAATTTATGTGACACAAAATAAATCTATATACTTGAATGCATATACATAATTATCATTTACAAGGTGTCCCTGAAGTCGACGACCAATGGTACCAGGTGGTCGGCAAGGTTCTCAGAAGTTATCAGAAGAAGATTCAAAAATTCCAAGTCAGATAGTTTTCAAATTACAATGACTTACGTGTCATCCACGAAAAAGTAAACCCTATGGCAGTCTTTTGACTCTTGTTGCTACAATTCTCTATTTTTCGTCTCTATTTTGCTTACGTTATCCCGAATACTGCTTCAGTGTTATGCAGTCATAAATCGTGAACCAAATGCTGTAGTTTAGAAAAGAATATAATTTTTTGATGAACCAAGTATTCTTAATATTTTCTATTATCTACCTTACTGTAAGTGACTGTACTGAAAAAATATTGTACTGCGGTAGTAGAGACAAATTCCACCTGCAATCTCATATTCTCAAAATAAAATAAAAAATCTCACAGTTCTCATATGCCCTACATGAAATTAAAAAGATAACTGACTTACGAACTGCAATAGTTATATACAGGGTTACTGGTAACTCGACGTATTCCTTGCAAGGCGTCATAGTAGAGTTAAAATGCAGCAAATTAGGACACCAAATGTTCTACCGAAGTTTATAGATTTTTAGGATTTATGAATAAATCCCAGATTTAATCATTTGAAGTCAATTTAAAAATGATTTGCAGCGCGACTGTGCTGAAATTTTTATCATAGTTGATGACGTAACAGATCTTTGTAAACAATTAAAAGTTCAAAAACTTTGGCAAATATCAGTGAAGAAACATTATATTTATTGTGATTTTCGCGATTACTTCATGCAAAATGTTGTTTAGTGAAAAAAAAATTACTACACCAGATGTACAAGTTAATTACGAAATATCCTTGTCTTATCAACTATCCAAAAAGGTATGATTGTATATCATTTTCAATACTTTTGCATGTATAACAGGGAAGGAGAAGTTTTATGAGGAGCAGATAAAATTGCGAGACGGTCAACCTATTGTTTCATATTCGTAAGTATTATTCGTAGTTTTTCCAGCGCTTCAACTCCAAACAATCAGCAAACTTTGTGATTAGTCACTATTGTTCTTTCGGTATGACACGGGGTGCGACTTTACAAAATCTGGTCGTCAGCGTCATTTTTTTGTTTTAGCATAAGCCGGTAAACCAGCAGACGGATCACCTGATGGTAAGCAATCGGCGCCGCCCATGGACACTCGAAACACCAAGACGTTACAAGTGCGTTACCAGCCTTTTGGGAATTGGGAATTTGAGGATTGTGGAGGATTCAGGGATTCGGGAGACGAGGACTAGGGAGGGGGGTAATTGGGCCTCCGGTAACCTCACTCACACGACGAAACACAACGCAAGCGTTGTTTCACGTCGGTTTTCTGTGAGGCTGTGGTATCACTCCGGTCAAGCCGGCCCATTCGTGCCGAAGCATGGCTCTCCCACACTTAAACTCCCACAGTTACATAGTTTCAATTCTACGTCACGCAAGCTCGTGTTTTGTTATCTGGCTATTTCCTTAACTGATACCGCGTATCTTGCCCTTGTGCTGTGTTGTGCCTTCATAAGTGCTGACTATGGCTGCACATTCTAACCCTGAATACGCTGACATAATGTACTGTTACGGACTTAGTGACGGTAACGCTGCTCGGGCGCGAAGAGAATATCAACTCCGCTTTCCCAACCGCCGACTTATCGGCGGATACCTGAAACTGGCAGCGTCCAAAGAAGCAGGCAAATTGACACTGGTCGTTCTCGGAGATACACGGCTGAAGACGAAGAGCTGATTCTTCAACGTTTTATTGACGACCCCAACATATCGACAAACATCGTGGCGCGTGAGCTTGGATGTCACAGTGGAAAGTTTGGTCTGTAGTTCACTTGTCAGGCCGACATACATACCACTATCAACCTGTCCAGTCATTAGAAGAGAGAGATCCGTCAGGACATCTTGAATTTTGTAGTTTTATGCTAAGTGCCGACGCCGAAAGCAAAAACTTTTTATAAAAAAATTTCTGTGGACCGATGAGTCATGTTTTGACCATGATGGTATCACAAATTACCACAACTTACATAACCGGGTGCCGGAGGCAGAAGCAAATCCTAAGAAACTGAAACCAACCGCATCCCAGCGTAGGTTTTCGCTTAATGTTTGGATGGTGATTATCGACGACAAATTAATTGGCCCACATTTTTTACCCCGAACACTAAATGCGAAACTTTATGAAGATTTCCTAAGAAATAATTTAACACTACGCTCGCGCATGTACCGGAAGATAGAAGAGCAAACATAATTTATCAACATGACGGATGTCCAGCCCACTTCTGAATCACAATTCGCCAATTGCTGGATGAAACCTCTCCAAACCGATGGATAGGGCGCGGTGGGCCGATTCCGTGGCCCTGATCTTACGCCACTAGACTTTTACGTCTGGGGTCATATGAAAGACCTAGTTTATGTGCCCCCAGTAAATTCAAATGACGACCTAAGGGAGAGAATAACAGATGCAGCGGACCAGATGAGGGCAAACACAAAAACTGAAGTGAGGAAGCGAATCAGAACATGCATTAGAAACCGAGGGCAGCACATCGAACAAGACGTGTGAGAGTGTAAACACACACTAAAAGCGCACTGTCCTGTAGTTTTTAAACTGATATTGATTGAAAATAATGTTCATTATTCACGAAATTCACCTTTTTTGAGACGTCGGTACATAATGTAAGCCTTAACTTTGTATTAACTTTCATACCTTTTTGGATAAAATAAATAATAAAATAAATTAATTAAAGTATTTTTTTTACACTAAACAACGTTTTGGGTGACGTAATCGTGAAAATCACAATAAATATAATGTTTCTTTAGTGATATTTGCCAAAGTTTATGGCATTTTTGAACTTTTAATTATTTACAAAGATCTGCTACGTCATCAACTATGATAATAACTAAAATTTCAGCACAGTCGCGCTGCAAATCATTTTTAAATTGGCTCCAAATGATTTAATCTGGGATTTTTTCATAAAAATCTAATTAACTCAAAAACTACTTAACTTCCGTAGAACATTTGATGTCCTAATTTGCTGCATTTCAACTCTACTATGACGTCCTGCAAGGAATACGTCGAGTTACCAGTAACCCTGTATACCTAGTAAATTACTAAATCGTTTCAAATGAAATTTGGTTAAAATACAGTTTAGTAGGTACTCCAGAAATAACGTAGAATTATTATGTGGGAATGCTTACGGAAATTAGAAATATCTGTTAAAAAACCGGCACTCTCTATTATATTATATCTTTGATTGAAATTCGGCACAACGACGGTTTGAGGCCCAGAAAAGGACATAAAATAGTTTTTATCACTGAAATCCTACGGGAATTTTTTTTTAAAACGTTGCCCCACACTAGGATTTTCTCCTGTGTCGTGGGTGCGTTTACAAACATACAAGTTCACATACACATGACACCCAGACCCGAAACAACAATTTGTGGATCACACAAAGTGTTGTTCCGTGCGGGAATCGAACCCGCGACACGTTGCACGGCAGCCGGCTGCCCAGCTACCGCACCAACCGTGCAGTCATTAATTCATTCATTCATTCATTCATAATTGAACTATTCATTTAATCTATTTGTACACCGTTACACCGTTCATCATCAGGTACACCGTTATATATTTTGTTTTATCCCAGAAATTCGACGGGAACAGGAACTATACGTTAGCCCCAGGACTCTCTATCTCTTAGTTTAGATGACAAACCTCCAAAAAGCTTTGACAGTATTGACAATTGTAGAATTGGGTAGTAGTTGAAATGATACGGCAGTTATAAAGTCAATAATAAAACGTATATAATAATCAGACCACAGGTTTATGAGTGTTATAAAGGAGCGAGGGAGCACACGCGATGACCGCTATTAATGTACTGAATACTCGACTAATATTAATTAATGAAGTAAGGAAAAATGCACGGATAAGCATAAGTGCATTACCAGTGTATGGTTCCACCGTACATGCTCCCGGGCCAAAAAGATAAACAAAATCTATACAATGTCATCATCTAGTTTAAAGCGACACCTTCTAGGTACAGGTGATGTAGAGATATCGCGGTTACAATCGATACTCGCACTGGTTATATTCACTTCACTCGGCTGTCGGTCAACCGTACTCTGCTTTCGCGAAAACACAACACTATTTGCTACACTTTGAGGTAACTCCACGGCAGTAACGGCTTGGCACCGCTTCCATATGAAATACACCGCGACCAGAATGGCAGCACCCAGGAGGCAATAACTAATCGTATACAGATGAATGTCATGCGTCGACAGAGTGTAATCGAGTGAGTTAGTATTGTCAGATTTCAGTTGTTTTATTTGTTTCCCTAGATCAACTAATGTACTATTTACAGGATCGTCGTAGACGGTGTAATGAGATAATGATATATTAACTATATGATTTAATTCGGCTACTTGAGGAGTCACAACGTCAGATTCTAATTTAATGGAATTAGCTAATAGAGCATGAGAATACAAAGTAAAGTCGTTACTTTTTATGATGCATTTCGGACCTAGGTCAATAATACCTACTCCTGTTATTTGTTTAAAGGAAACTTGATCTTGACATATAATCCTCACAGCGTAGGTATTGCAGCAAAAGTACATGAACCTTGCTGGCTCATTTAGCTCGAGCCACCTGTCTTGACAAGGAGATCTAGTTACAATACATTGTTTTAAGTTTTTATCCAGTTTGCAGAATTTCTCATCAATGCTGAGAC